TGGATACTTTACCTACAGCAGAGTTAGCGCGCGTGCTTGTCACGATGTGGGCAGTTTGGTGGGCGAGAAGACGGGCCATCCACGATAATCATTTCCAGAGCCCTCTCAGCACTCATGTTTTCATCAATAAATTCATCGCAGAACTTGATCAAATTCCTGAGAAGGCCGCACGTACGAGGGACCTGCATGTAAGAGACAGGGACCGGCATGTAACTAGTGTGGAGGATGAAGGACCCACGAGCAGGACAGGGTGGCTACCACCTGAAGCGCATGCGTACAAAATGAACACGGATGCTGGCTTCTCTAAGATCGGAGACAGCGGGGCTGCTGCTGTGATTTGCCGCGACACTAATGGTAATTATCTCGGGGCATCAGCGATCATCTCAGTTGGCTCAATGGACCCAACCATCTTGGAGGCTCGGGCGTGTAGTGAGGCGCTTTCCCTGGCAAGTGACCTCCACATCCAGTCCGTTTGCATGGCATCGGATTGCCTGGAAGTCGTAAACCGGATAGAGAATGTCTCTCCCTGCAATTATTTCTCAATCTTGCAAGACATTCAACACCAGAAAAGGCTTTTCAATGATGTAAAATTTATCCATGAGAGTAGGAATAATAATAGGGAGGCTCATGCTTTGGCGAAGGCAGCAGCCTCTCTACCTCCCGGGCGCCACGTGTGGCTTATTAGCACGCCCGATATCATTTGTATCCCTATGTGTGTGAACTTTTAATAAAGGATGTAGTTTGCTAAAAAAACTCCATTCGTTTTTATTTACTTTGCATATAATATTTGGCTAAAATCAAACTTTGTATAGTTTGACCATATTTATATAAAAAAATATAAACATTTATCATAACAAATCTGTATGATGTGAAAGTACATTCAATAATGAATCTAATGATATTGATTGTTATTGTGTATGTTTATATTTTCGTTTATGAACTTTGTCAAACTTTATAAAGTTTGGATTTGACCAAAGCTAATACGCAAACTAAATAAGAACGGGGGATGTACTCCCTTCGTATAAAAAAAGTGTCTGGTTTTAGTTTAATAAAAAATTGAACTAAAGTTTGTTTACGTTACGCAGAACACCAAGTCACGAGGCCGCCTTCTAACTTAGGCCGCCGCCGCTGCCACTACATCTATCACCACAGCTTTGGTCCTCCTCCCTTCGCCCGGCGACCTCGTTGGCGGAGAGAGGAGTGGGGACCCGTCCATTTTTTGGGGGGTTAGGTTTTTACTTCTCCGGCGATATCGACGAGGTGGTGGTGACGATGGCTTGTTGGAATAAGGTCTCTCTGGGTTTCCCTGCCTCGACGACATCCGATCTGACACGACAAACTGTGGGAGTTTATGTCCCCAGATCTGTTGGTTCTCCTCAGATCTTGGCAGTTCGTGTGTCTTTCAAGGAGAGCTTATGGCTAGCTGTTTGTGTGACGACTTCGACATCTTCTTATGTGTTGTTCTGTGGCTTGGTCCGGTTACTCCAAGACTTTGTGTTGATGGTAATGGAACCTAAAAAATAGGTAAGGTTCTGTCTCCCCTCTTACGTCCATTCTCTCGTCAAACCCCACCTCCCCGACCAACGCTGCCGCTGGTAAAGAAATTTTATCCAAGGAAACCGCAGCCACGCAGATTTCTTATTTGTAAATATCCAGCATACTACCGCGCCTTCATCTTCCACTACACCGTGATCCCCTCGCCCCTTCTCCTCCCTCGCAATGCGCTGCCAGCCCTCCATGTTGTTTCTCATGGCTGCCCCCAAGTAGCTCCTCCTCTACGAGGGCTCCTCAAGGCCTTGCCCAATTATGTGCTCCTTGGCCACCTGCCATCGAGCTCTTGGTTAGCCTCATCCTTGTCGCCATGGCCAACCCCCTGTTCTCGTTCACCGTCGACGTCCCCTACTCACCTTAGTAGTGCTCCACGTCCGCCTCTGTGACGACATGGATCCTGCATCCGACAAGGAGGAGACGAGGACGAGAAGGCCAACGGGGTCGTGGTGGAGAAGGAGGATGGCGATGTTGACCGGGGTCGAGGCATGATACATCCATTTTGCATCATGATTTCCTACGGTTATTTATAGTGTTTTTACTCAATATAACACTTGTGGAGTAATTCTAATGCCTTTTCTCTTATAATATGCAAGGTTTACACAAAGCGGGAGATTACCGGCAGCTGGAATTCTGGACCTAAAAAAGCTATATCAGAGATACCTATTCTGCACATCTCCAAATGAGTTGAAATTTTATGAAGATTTAATTTGAAATATATAAAAAATATTGGAGAAAAGAAATACCAGAGGGGGCCACCCAGGTGCCCACTAGGCACCATGGTGCGCCTACCCCCCTGGCGCCCTGGTGGGTAGTGGGCCCCCTGGGTAGCCTCCGGTGCCAATCTTCTGGTATATAAGGTAAGTTGCCTAAAGTTAAGGGGAGGACTTTCGAGACGGAGCGCCGCCGTCTCGAGGCGGAACTTGGGCAGGAGCAGTTTTGCTCTCCTGTGGAGCGATTCCGCCAAGGATACTCCCCTCCGGGAGGGGAAAATCAAAGCCATCATCGTCACCAACAACCCTCTCATCGTGGGAGGGCCAATCTTCATCAACATCTTCAACATCACCATCTCATCTCAAAACTCTAGTTAATCTCTTGTGTTTAATATTTGTATAAAAACCTCATATTGGTACCTGCGGGTGACTAGTAGTGCTGATTACATCTTGTAGTTGATGCTAGTTGGTTTATTTGGTTGAAGATCATATGTTCAGATATATTATGCTATACAATAACGCTCTGATCTTGAGCATGAATATATTTTGTGAGTAGTTATTTTTGTTCTTGATGACATGGGAGAAGTCTTGTCATAAGTAATCATGTGAATTTGATATTTGTTCGATATTTTGATGGTCTGTATGTTGTGATTCCCTTAGTGGTGTTATGTGAACGTTGACTACATGACACTTCATCATCTTTGGGCCTAAGAAAATGCATTGTGTAGTAGTTATTAGATGATGGGTTGCTAGTGTGACAGAAGTTTTAGTCTGACTGATCCGTTAGAACAATATTTGCTAGACCATGAAAATGATATGCACTTGCATGAACGAAATGAGATAGATAAATTATTCTTTGGTCAACAACCTATTCTTAAACAAAATTTGCATCTTGAAACTCTAGAAGGTCATCCTTCACCTAAAGGCGATCTTGTGTTTGAATTAAAACAATTGCTTGATACTTTGAAATATGCTTATGTTGATGAAAAGAAGATATATCCTGTTATTATTAGTGCTAACCTTACAGAGCATGAAGAAAAAATATTAGTAATTTTCTTGAGGAAGCATCGTGCTGCTATTGGATATACTCTTGATGATCTTAAGGGCGTTAGTCCCACTCTCTGTCAGCACAAGATTAATATAGAATCCGATGCGAAACCAGTTGTTGATCATCAACAACGATTGAATCATAATATGAAGGAAGTGGTAAGAACTGAAATACTAAAGCTTCTGGAAGCATGTATAGTCTATCCCATAGCTGACAGTAGATGGGTAAATCTTGTTCATTGTGTTCCAAAGAAAGGAGGCATTACTGTTGTTCATAATGATAAAAATGAATTTATTTTACAAAGAATTATGACTGGCTATAGAATGTTAATTAGTTTTAGAAAATTAAACAAAGCCATCAGAAAAAATCATTACCTTTTGCTTTTTATTAATCAAATGCTAGAAAGATTGTCAAAGCACACACACTTTTGTTTTCTCGATGGATATTCCGGTTTCTCTCAAATACCTGTATCACAACCTTATCAAGAGAAACCACCTTCACTTGTCCTTTTGGAACTTATGCTTATAGACGTATGCCTTTTGGTTTATGCAATGCACCTACTATCTTTCAAAGATGTATGACTGTTATATTCTCTGACTTTTGTGAAAAGGTTGTTGAGGTTTTCATGGATGATTTTTTCGTTTGCAGATCTTCTTTTGATGATTGCTTAAGCAATCTTGTTCGAGTTTTGCAGAGATGTGAACAAACTAATTTTATCTTGAATTGGGAGAACTGTCACTTTATGGTGAATGAAGGTATTGTCTTGGGGCATAAAATTTCTGAAATATTCCGCTATGACAGAAAATAAGTAGGAGGGGAGAGTTTTTTCAACAGGAAAAGAAAAAGTGTGTCGTGGGGTGTGATTTTTGTGTTGGGATCGCGTGTTGAAGATACATGACGGATAGTCTGGACAACCATATTTTTTCCTCACATATAGATTGGATTTGAGGAAACTCGAACTGTCCAAACGGTTGAAATTTGAGGAACCCACCGATCGTCCGTTTGACATCCAAACATAACCAAAATGTATGACGGAAAAATAAGCTTCAAGTTTGAAGACGGCTTTAATCATTTATTTGATTTATTTAAATATATTGTAACCAATAGCAATGCACGGACATTCTTTATAGAAATTATCTTGTGTGGAATAGTTCCGGAATCAAAACCCCGTGTCTTGGCTTTGCAAATTTGTGGTGACCCATTCTGCTCCCTCTGCTCGGTTCGGCGCTATCTCAACGCACGTCCACCAGTTCACCTCCGACCCAACTGCCTGTTGCCCCACGCAACGCGTGTCGTTCATCTCCGCGTACGCATGCACCCTGCCCTGGACCGTCGTCTTCCAGTGATGCGGCCATGCCACCCCTCCCGCTCCTCCCTCCTGTTTCCCGGGGAGGAGGCATGCATGAGGAGATAAAAAGCGCCCCATCCTTCGCGCTTGCTCTTCACAGCTCTCTCTCAATCGCTCCCTGAGGCAGAGCTGTCCCTACGGAAGGCAGCCAGAATAATACGGGAGCTCCTCAACATTTTCGTTCCATGTTGATTGATTGATTCCTTCTAACCGATCGTACCTGTACATGTAACCGGCCGGAGCTCTGTGTCCAAGGCGCCTCCATCTGGTGAGGCCATCTGCACCTCACGGCGCCTAATTGGACGGTATAATAACGGACTTGCAGAGGGTTGATCCCCGATCGATGATGGAGGACGGCCTCGCTCCGCCCGCGCGCCGGGCGCCGATCAAATGCCCCGCCGTCGCCGCCGCCGAGGTAACGAACCAGAGTTCTCTTGATCGGCGCGTGCATTTTCGTGTTGCGGCTCGCGGCGTTTTTCACGGAACGGCGGGGAATGGTTCAGGACGTGGAGCAGCTGCCCACCCCGACGGTGACCTCCCAGGAGTTCCTCCAGTTCAAGAGGAAGGCCACCACGATCGTGGAGGAGTACTTCTCCACGGACGACGTGGCCGCCACGGCGAGCGAGCTGCGGGAGCTGCGCGTGCCCTGCTACCACTACTACTTCGTCAAGAAGCTCGTCTCGGTGGCCATGGACCGCCACGACAGGGAGAAGGAGATGGCGGCCGTGCTCCTCTCCTCGCTCTACGGCGACGTCATCGACCGCCCGCAGGTCTACAAGGGCTTCTGCAAGCTCGCCGAGGCCTGCGACGACCTCTCCGTCGACACGCCCGACGCCGTCGACATCCTCGCCGTCTTCGTCGCCCGCGCCATCGTCGACGACATACTGCCCCCGGCGTTCCTGGCGAAGCAGCTGCCGTGCCTGCCCGACGGCTGCAAGGGCGCCGAGGTCATCCGCAGGGCGGAGAAGAGCTACCTGTCCGTGCCGCACCACGGGGAGATCATCCTGCAGAGGTGGGGCGGCATCAAGAACATCACCGTGGAGGAGGCCAAGGCCAGGATCGCCGACATCCTGGAGGAGTACCTCGCCGCCGGCGACACGGCCGAGGCCTTCCGGTGCATCAGGGAACTCAACATCCCCTTCTTCCACCACGACGTCGTCAAGCGGGCGCTCGTTCTCGCCATCGAGCGCGGCGGCGCGGCCGAGGGCCACATCCTGGACCTCCTCAAGTCGGCGTCGGACCAAGGTGTCATCAACGAGAGTCAGATCATCAAAGGCTTCAACCGTATGATCGACTCTGTTGACGACTTGACGCTCGACGTGCCAAACGCGAGGTGTCTCCTGAAATCCATAATCCTGAAGGCTTCGTCGGAGGGCTGGCTGTGCGAGTCGTCCCTGAAACCGTTGGGGTCGGAGCCGAAGAAGGTCGTCGAGGACGACCCCGCCGTCAAGAGGTTCAAGGCGAAGGCCGTGGCGAGCATACACGAGTACTTCTTGACAGGGGACATCATCGAGTCGGTGAGCCGGCTGGAGGCTGAGAACAGCTCGTGCTCCTGCTTTTTCAACGCCATCTTCGTCAAGAAGCTCATCAGCTTCGCCATGGACCGGAAGAACCGCGAGAAAGAGATGGCCTCCGTGCTGCTGTCCTCGATCTGCATGCCGCCGGAGCACGTCGTCGCAGGGTTCCACCTCCTGGTCGACTGCGCCGAGGACGCCGCGCTGGACAACCCCGCCATCGTCGAGGACCTGACCATGTTCTTTGCCAGGTCAGTGGTCGACGAGGTTATAGCGCCGTCGGACTTGGAGGCGGTGGAGGAGGAGGCCGGCCGCCGCAAGGCCGCGGGCTCCCCCGGGATGCTGGCTCTGCGCAACGCCCACGCCATGCTCGGAGCAAAGCTCTCCGCGGAGCGGATCCTGCGGTGCTGGGGCGGTGGTGGCACCGGGAAGGCCGGGTGGGAGCTGAGCGAGGTGAAGGACAAGATCGGCAAGCTGCTGCAGGAGTACGACAGCGGCGGCGGCGTCCGGGAGGCGTGCCGGTGCATCAAGGAGCTCGGGATGCCGTTCTTCCACCACGAGGTGGTGAAGAAGGCGCTGGTGGCGATCATCGAGAAGCGGGGCAAGGACGAGCGCCTCTGGGGCCTGCTCAGCGAGTGCTACGGCCGCGGCCTGATCACGCCGAACCAGATGACCAAGGGCTTCCAGAGGGTCGCCGACTGCGTCGACGACCTCGCGCTCGACGTGCCGGACGCCGGGAAGCAGCTCGGCTGCTACGTCGAGCGCGCCAAGAAGGCGGGGTGGCTGGACGCGTCCTTCTCCGCTGCCAAGCCGGGGCAGGCACCGGTACCGGATGGCATTGCCGTATGTTCGTGAGCACCGGTTACATGCAAACACACTAGTGACATTCCAGGGGAGCTCGTTGGGTTTGCAACAACTTTACGCCATTATATTACGTGTATGTATGATCTGCAGGTATGAGAGAAGACGGTCGATTAGGAGTATATAAGGCTCGCACAGGAAATGTGCTATAGGATAGGGAGTATGATCTTCCAAAGTAGGAGGTTTTCATGGCGTTTAGCGCGGAGGATTTGTGCATTGAAGAGTTTGTTTTTGCCATTGTTTTTCTCCTACACTGTCCTGTGGTGTTTTTATCTGGTCAACTGCTCGTTGAGGAAATTACAATGTTACTCCTTATTAATGTATCACACATTTCTCTAGTATATTCCATTTTTTGTTTCCATTTTATTTTCAGTTTTCCTTTCCTTTTTTTAGAGTTGTTGCTTTTTAATCTGCCTGGTTTAGTGTACGGTTTTTCTTAAAACTTATGAACATTTTTAAATACATGTTAACATTTTTTCAAATACACATTGAACACTTTTTAATACATTCTTAATATGCTACTTTTTTCATGAATATTTTCGAAAACATGTGAACATTTATTTAGTGTAACGAACAATTGTTTAAATGGTACAATTTTTTATATGACATGATTATTTTAAAATGTCAATCATTTTTTGAAAAATCAAATGGTATTTTTTTGAATGGTATGAACTCTTTTGAAGATATGTGAACAAAATTTTACATTGCACGAAAATTTCAAAAAACAATTGTAACGTCTGAACATTTTCTTTTATGAATTGTACCCACATTTTTTCTAAATTTGGTGAATAATATTTTTACATTTCATGAATATTTTTAACACATAATGAACATTCTCAAAACTAAGTAAAATGTTTTTTCATTGATGTAAAGAGAATAGGACGGAAAACTAAACACACGATAGTATATATATTAAAACATTTCAGAGGTGCAAATATAATTATAATAATATAAAATACTTGTAAAATAGGACGTAACATGTGGTTCAGCATGGATTCGGCTTGCCTGCTCCCTTTCCATGCTCCCATCCGTGCTCCCACTTCATTTTATGGTTATCTTTTTTTTCTTTTTCCTTTCTAATCTAATCATCTCCCCCCTGATTTTAAGGGGGTGGGGCCGGGCCTTATTTTGTTTCAATCAAATCAAGTCACGTATGCAGGAGCACGGATGAGCACACGCACGGGGAGCAGGCAAGTCTCATCCGGTTCAGCATGACAAAAAAACCTGCTAGAGGCGTGTGGTTCTTCCTGCAATGGGCCTGGAACTTTTGGAAGACCGCTTGAAGCGACCCCAACATTTTCTATCTTGTTGCAACCCATATATAGACGCGCCCTCATTTCAGAGAACTCCTACTCGGCGCTTATGTCGCCGATTGAAAAAGCAGCTCTCGTGGGGAGTCTCTGTGTGCCGCAGCCCAGTGAACTGGCTCGCTTGCTCGCCCGCCGCTCGCTCGGTCGCTTCGAAACTGCTCTCTCGGAAACGCTCGCTCAGTCGATTTGAACCGCTCATTCGGCCTTGCTCCATTTTTCAGCTCATCTGATATCTATCACACAAAAATACATAGCCGCATCTGAAAACAGTCTGCGGACTTGAAAACTGTTCGTGAATTTGAAAAAAGTTCGCGCACTAAAAAACATTAGTGCATTTGACAAATATTTACGGATCTAAAAAGAGGTTCACGAATTTTAAAGAAGTTCACGGATTTAAAAAAATCCGGCATCTGAAGAAGTTCATGAGTTAAAAAAACGCATCTGTAAAAAGTTTGGGGATTTAAAAAACTTTCGCAGATTTAAAAAAGGTTCATGAATTGGAAAAGATCGTTTATTTGGAAAAAATATATGTATTTGAAAAAAGTCCATGGATTTTCAGAAAATTGCGCATCTGAAAAAATTTCATGAATTTGATTTTTTTCAGTATTTCGAAAAAGAAGTTCACAACTTCATAAAAATTTCATGGATTTTGGAAAAAGTTGGTTGATATGAAAAACAATAAATAAATAAAAATTTCATGAAGTTTGAATAATAATTGCAAATTTGAATAAAAAAATCACGAATTAGGAAAAGTTTCTCGGATCTGAAAAACATTAACACATTTAAATAAGTGTTCGTGAATTTGAAAAATATAAGTTCACATTTTTATGGGAAATGATAAAAGTAAACAAGAAATAAGAAAATGAAATTTAAAGTAAGGAAAAACCAAAAACCAAGACAAACCCGGGTAAAAACAAGAAAAATGGAAAACAAAAAAGGGCTGAAAGATTTTAGAAACATCCTTGGAATCTTCCCATAATTATACACTAAGCTACGGACGGGATCGACCAAATAGAAGCTTAGACCGGTCGGCCCGTTAACAAACGAAAGGATCGAGGGAGTGTGCGCCAACTAGGGAAATGCCCTATATTCGGTGTTGTAAACGGGAGCAACTAGTTGACGAGCGCTCATTTGAAAGCCTCGCAACGATCACTTGCGGGTGACCGCTCTTAGCCACTGCCACGTGTCGTGCTCTGGACGTTTCCTTCGAATTTTGTTTTATTTTTATTTTTTGTACGCGTTTTCGACTTTTAGATTGTTTTTTTTCGGGTTTTTCGACTTTTTTGTTTTCCACCGCTCTTTCTTAGCTTCTGGAACAAAAACAAGTCAAAAAAATGCGCAAAAAATGTGCTTTCTTTCTTTTTCGGCAAGAGGCACGGTTTCGCTTTCCGTCAGAGGCATGGTTTTGCTTTCGCGAGAGACACGGTCGTGCCACTCGGAAACGGAAAAAAGACAAATTTCCATTTTTTCGCGAGAGGCACCGCCGTGCCTCTCGGAAACGAAAAAAAACGCGTTTTCTGTTTTTTTTTTCCTTCCGCGAGAGGCACGGCCGTGCCTCTCGAAAACGGAAAAACATGTTTTTGTTTTTTCTTCAGCGAGAGGCGCAGTTGTTCTTTCACGAGAAGCACGACCGCGCCTTTTTCGAAAAGGAAAAAAGCCGTGCTTCTGATTTAGTATTTTCATCCTGTTTTTTTTCCGTGAAAAAAAGTTCGTCAAAACCTAACAACATACAATCTTATTTTGAAGATCTCAACGCGAGGAATCCAACGGTAAAAATATTGACATTTGGACGAACCAATAAAACGTTTTGAATAAACGAATCTAGGAAAAAATGGAAAACTCCAAGTTACGACTAAACCCTAAACCCTAAACCTAATTGGCCACTTGTCACAACCTAGGAAGGTAGGGGTGATCTTTGCAAGGAGTATTCCTCAATTAGTGATTTTGGCTGTAAGCGTCATATAGGATTCACACTCATTTTGGGTCTTAAGTGCCGATTAGGAGCTCCTCAAGGGCTCTTCACCAAACAAAAAAACACGCTACGCACTACTGGACCACGGGCCCATTCTACTACCTCAGCCTAAATCCTGAAATCCTTCTGCTAGCCCAAACCGGACAGTAACCCGCGCAAATGTTATATCTCACTATATAGCGACTGTAGCATCCGTCTCGCATGAAGCGCATGCATATGGACCAGCCCAATAGCCCAGGTCGGTCGCTAGGTCGACATACTGGTT